TGTGGAGCTGGGAGAGGGGGATGTGCTGCTCTGGCTCCACTTTGGGAGGTGCAGGGAGCTGTGCCAGCCCCAGCTCCTGCAGGGAGCCCAAAGCCTCCCTCAGTGCCCGGGGCTGGAGCTGCTCCGTGCCCAGCTGAGCCCTTCCTGCCCTGCCCCAGGCACAGCTCCCAGCTCCTCCGGGATGAGTTCTTTATCTTCTTTAGACAATTATCTCACAGAGATAATTGTCTAAAATGCCTTCACTCACTGTCGGTTGGGGTTGGGTTGGGTTGGGGTTTTCCCCCTTTCCTCAGCAGGAAAAGCTCCTCCCTGCTCAGAGTGCTCCCGAGGGCTGAGCAGTGGCTGATGCCCTGTCCTGCTGCCTCTGTTTTGCAGGAAGAAGTTTTCCTGGAGCATTCAGATGACAGTATTTGCCATGATCTTTGGTGCATTTGTGGCTGCCAGGTGAGCTGTCCCCATTCCCAAATCCCAGAGGGTCCCTGCCAGGGGCACTGCAGTTCCCTGGTGTGTCCCAAGAACAGAGGGATTAAACTCTGACTTTCCCCCCTGCCAGACGTGCTCTCTGGTAGGAAAGAATGTTTTCCTGACTCAAATCCCACCCCCTCCTCCCACGATTAACTTTTCCTGACAACTTGCTGGCTGCACAGAAGGTGGAAGGACCTTTCCAAGTGCTGTCCCTGCACAGCCAGAGCTTTAACTCCTGGTTTTCCCCTTCCAGTGCTGACTTGGCATTCGACCTGGAGGGATACATTTTTATCCTCATTAACGACGCCTTAACAGCTGCAAACGGTGCCTATGTGAAACAGAAGCTGGATTCCAAGGTGGGATGGGCTTTGCCTTCCTCTGGGATGTTGGGATTTTGGGCTTGGTTTCTGTGAGGGCAGAGGGGGGAGGCTCAGCCATCCCATTCCCAAAATCTGCCCAGAGCTGGACAGGGACTGGGGACAGGGCATGGAGGGACAGGACGCAGGGAATGGCTTCCAGAGGGCAGGGATGGATGGGATGTTGGGCAGGAATTGTTCCCTGGCAGGGTGGGCAGGGGCTGGGCTGGAATTCCCAGAGCAGCTGTGGCTGCCCCTGGATCCCTGGAGCAGCCTGGGGCAGTGAAGCTCCTGCCCACGGGACTGGATGAGCTTTAGGGTTCCTCCCAGCCCAAACCAGAACTCCATGAGACACCAGAATTCCCACCCTGCAGCTCCTCTGTCTGGAGGAGTCCCAGCTGGATTCAGCTGCAGGATTCCTGTTCCCAGTGCAGCCCTGGCTGTTTCCCCTTGCAGGAGCTGGGCAAGTACGGCCTGCTCTACTACAATGCACTGTTCATGATCCTGCCCACCCTGGCCATTGCCTACGTCACTGGAGATGCCCACAAGGTAGGACACACATCCCAAATCCATCCCAGATCCCCGGGATGGTGGCACGCTGTCCCACGGGCTGAGGAGGAGCTGGGGAGGGGGTGCCCCAAAACCAGAAGGGAGCCACAACTTTTACGTTGGACTTGAAGCCACAGAGTTGCTCCATTTGGGCATTTTTGTAATGCCTGAGGAATGGGGAAGTGGAGAGCAAGAAGGAAACCCAAATATTATTTAAAGAAGCTGAGTAATTTTAGAATCAATGAGTTTTCTTCAAACTTCTTTGTCTGTCCTTCCCCTCTACCTGGGGCAGTTTTGTGGAGCTGCTGTGTGGGTTCACTTTGCTTGTGGTGCCTGTCATCTTGGAGATGATAATAATATTAATAATGCTAATAAATAAATAAAATAACAATAGTGATTATAATAGTTATGATGATGTCATGATTATAATAATCATAATCATCATAATCTATGGTTCTGTATTAATGAAATTATTCTTTATTATTACTGTGATTATAATTATTTACCTGTGGTCCTGTATACATGAAATTATTAATTATTATTATTATTACTAATATTGCTAATTGTACTAATAGTATTAATGTTATTATTAATCTTACTATTAATATTATACTTAATAATATTAGTATTATTATTATTTATTGGTTTTTTTGTTGTTGCACTCACTGATGTGCAGCTGAGCCACAAATTCCTTTTTCCTGCCTGTTTTTTGGAAATCTGCTCCGTGTGCAGGGAGTTCAGATAAATCCTCTCCTCCAAAGGCTGGAGGTGTTGCCCACCCTGGGGGTGGCCCTGGGGGGCCCTGCCAGCCCCTGTGTCCCCCAGCCCGGTGGCTTTGTCCTCGTTAGCAGCTTAAGTCCCAGGGATAAGAGCTGGGCTCAGCAGGGATGGCAGCAGGGGGTGAGGGTGGCTCAGCCCAGCAGCTCCCGGGGCTGGATTTGGGATAAAAAGTGCTCATTTAGGAGCAGGAGCTGGGCCTGGGCAGGAAAACGTTGCTGTGAGCAGCCTCTGTTCAGCCCGGAGAGAGAACTGGCTTTTTTTAATTTGCTTTTCCCCTGAATAAACTCCTTTCTGGGCTGCACAAAGATGTGCTCTGTGCCGGGGCTGCTGCCAGGAAACTCCGCCTTGGCAGCTCCAGGAAAACCCCTGGGGGATCTGGGGGGGCTCTCCTGTCCTGTGGCTCTGGCAGTTCCTGTGGTTCCTCTGAGGCTCCCCAGGTAACCCATCCTGCTCTGGGCAGAATTCCTGGGCTGGAGGAGCTGCAGGAATTCTGTGTCCCAGGGGGAAGGGCATTCCCAGCTGCCTGGCAGGAGCCCTGGCTGCTCTGGCATTCCCTGCCCAGCTGGGAGGGGGCGAGGGGAGCAGCTCCTGCCCTGGGTGCCTCTGGAGCAGGTGAGGTTCCACCTGGATTCTGGGTGTCTCCAAGGATGGAGACTTTCCCTGGGCAGCCTCTGCCCCTCTCCAGGTGCCTGCAGACATCCAGAGGCACCTCCCTGTGTGTCCCTGCGTGCCCCTGGCCCTGGGATCCTGTCCCTGGTGCCTCTGGCAGAGCCTGGCTCAGGGATGCTCCAGTCCCTGCAGGATCTTGGTGGCCCCTCTGGACTCTCTGTGGCACTGGATCCAGCCCTCCAGATGCTCCCCAAAGCCCTTCCCTGAAATCCAGGCTGCCTCCAGCCACTCTGAGCAGCATCTCCAGGTCACAGCTCCCTCGGGATGAGAGTTGTGGTTTGCAGGGAGTCAATCCCAAAATGATCCAGTTCTGGGAAGCAGCCAGCTGGGGAGATGCCTCTCCTGACAAAGACAGGGAATGAGGCCTTGTGGCACTCATTCCCTGCCTTTTCCAGGAGGAACGAGCCGGGTGCTGAGGCTGGAGGTGCTGCCAGTGGGGATCCCCAGCCTTGGGATGTCATCCCAGGCTTGGAGCTTGGGTTGGTTTTTCCTGCTGTGAGGTGACAGCCGGTGCTGGGGGGGTTGTTCCTTGCCTGGCTGGGAATTGTGTTTGTGCCAGGGCTCTGAGCTGCTGTTCCTGCAGGCGCTGGAGTACCAGGGCTGGGCAGACACGTTCTTCCTCGTGCAGTTCACGCTCTCCTGTGTGATGGGGTAAGGACCGGGCTGGAGCAGGGGAGGCTCCTCCACCCCAAAAACTGGGGAGCGTGGTGCCCTGGTGGTATTTAATCCATCATAAATCCCCAGTCCTGCTAGGGACGCCGTTCCTGAGAGCTCTGCTGGGTGGGGGGTATCTCCCACCCCTCCTCCAGTGCAGGCTTAGCTGAAAAAGTGGGAAAAAAAGGATGGGAATGGATCCTGGAATCCTGGAGTGCTTTGGGCTGGGAGGGACCTTAGGCTCAGCTCATTCCCTGAAGGGAGGGACCCTTCCCAAGGCCAGGCTGGTGGGATGGGGTGGTTCCCAAGGTGTTGTCCCTGATGTTGGCTCTTTTCCATAGGTTTATTTTGATGTATTCCACAGTTCTTTGCACTCAGTACAACTCTGCTCTTACAACTACAATAGTTGGCTGCATTAAAGTGAGTGGCATTCCCTGCTCCCAAAAAAAGCCCCTCAGTTATCCCTGGGGAATTGCATTAACCCCTCATGTTCCACCCCCTGCATTCCCTTTTCCATACATTCCCTTTTCCGTGCAATTCCCTTCTCTCAGGCTGTTTGTTCCTCCCATCTTGTTCCTTTGCAGAATATTTTAATAACCTATATTGGGATGTTTTTTGGAGGAGATTATATTTTTACATGGATGAACTTCATTGGTCTAAATATCAGGTAAGAGCAGAGGTTTATTTATCATTTGTAAGTGGAAACTGGGGTGGAACTGAGACGATTTGACAGATTTAATGGATTTTTTTTTCCCTTACAAAAAAACCCACATGGATTTGGGTTTTTGTACTTGGTCTTGTTGTGCTTGTGCTTGGGTTTTGTGGGATGTTCCCAGATTCGGTTTGTTTTAAAGCCAGGAGAATCCCCAGGGGTATTGTAGCAGGAAAATTGAGTTATCCCTAAGTTACCAAGCAGAGTCATGGAACTAAGGCAGCAAAAGAAGAACTTTGGGGATTATTTCATTTTCATTGTTATTTTTTGGGGGGATTATTTCAATTTCAAGACTTTGGGGATTATTTCTTATTATTCAGCTTTTGGAAGGGTCTCCAGCTTTTGGGCTGGGCTGTGGGAGTCTCCTGTCCTTCAGCAGGATCCCTTTGGGGGTGGGACAGATCTGGAACGAAACCAAACACCTGTGTTTAGGAGGAAAGCTGGGAATTCTCCTGGAGATGGGTGCTGCCAGCAGGTCCTTGTGCCAGGCTCTGCCTTTTCCTGGGCGTGTGGTTGCTCCGGGGCTCCCCACGTTCTCCCCAAATCTCTTGCAGTATTGCTGGGAGCCTGGTGTACTCCTACATCACCTTCACCGAGGAGCAGATGAGCAAGGAGTCGGATGCCGGCAGCAAGATGGATATCAAAGGGAAGAGCTCGGTGTGAGCAGGGAGAGGCTGTTGGTTTTTTGGGAGCCGACCTCTTCTGCTCGCCTGATGCGGGCAGAACCGGGAAGGGCCCCGGGGCGCCTGCCGCGAGCCGCGGGGATGCTCTTGATTTGCACAGCTGAGATTGCTGCCTTCACAAATCCTGGGGAAGATCCGCCCAGCCTGCGCGGGGAGGGGGAGGATGATGAGCCTAATTAAGCCTGATCGGGAGGAATTAACGGGTTTCTAATCAAGCCGGGAGTTGGCACGGGCAGGGCAGGGCTGGCAGTTCTGCTGCCAGGGGTGTCCCTGGCTGGATCTGCTCCCCGGGATCCCTGGATCCGCCGATCCCGGCGGGGAGGGAGGCTGGGGCTGGCTCCGTGCCCTCTGGAATGCGGGAATGCTCCGGGAATGCCCGGGGAGCCGCCGTTCCCTGCGAGCTGCTCCCGCTGGATGAACGTTCACTGCTCTCTGGACTTAATTTTGAGCTTTGTTTGGTCCATTTTCCAACTGTTTGGTCCATAAACCCACTTTCCGAGCTGGGTTTGCCCTCCTGGGTCTATCAGAGCCCTGCATCCACCTCTGTCTTTCCGAGGCTCGGTGACATTCCCAGCAGGAAGGGTTTTCCTGCCCTGCTGAGCTCTGCAGCCTCCCTTGGATCCAGCCTTGGCTTTGGGAAAGCTGCTGCCTTACTGGGAAGATCAGCAGGGAGAAGCTGCTGGGATCACAGGAGAGCCAAGGTTGTCCCACCTGGCACAGCACATCCAGGGAATCTGCAAAGGCTGCAGCTCCCACCCCTGGAAGAGGCACAAGGACTTAAATCTTTTTTTGGCAACTACAGGGCCCCCATAATTCTTGTTTGCCATGGAATGAATCACCCTGGGTTTGTGACCCACTGAAAGAAAGGAATTGTTGAACACTGGGCAGTGTTCAGAGGTTTTTAAAGGTTCTCTTACCCAGCACCTCTTTCCAGGTCTCCTTGGGTTGTCTTTCGGTTTTAAAAGAATTGTTTTTAAGCTTGGTTAAAAACCTTTTAGTAAAACAATGTATTTAGAGATTTTTGTACCCTAACAGCTTCTCTAGACACTGACAGTGGGGTTTTTTTTAGGAGATACTTGCTTAAACTGAACTGCTGTTGAGCAAAGCTGAATTTGTTGGAGTTTACTGGAAGTTTTTGGATGAGAAGATGTTCTGTGAGGGTGCAGCTCCAGCCTGGTGTGCTGGGGAAGGTGTGGAGTGAGCCAGCAATTCCAGAGCCACAATTCCCCCCTTTTTTTGTGGGATTTTGAGGTCACTGCAGGGCAGTTGGGGTGTCCTGGAGTAGTCCCTCAGCACATTCCCCCTCTGAGCACAGTGAAAAAGAAATCCCTGATTATTTTGCCTCCCAAAATTCCAGTAAAACCTCGGCTTTGTCCAGGGAAGGGAGGGTCACAAACCTTCCTGGAGTGCAGAAGCTCCCCAGTCCCAGCCCAGATGGGGTTGCTGGTCCCAGTACTGGTCCTTGTTCTCTCCTGGTTTTGTTCTTTCCTGGTTCTGTCCTGGTTCTGTCCTGGTCCCGATCCTTATCCTTGTTCTCTCCTGGTCCTTGTTCTCTCCTGGTTTTGTTCTTTCCTGGTTCTGTCCTGGTTCTGTCCTGGTCCCAGTACTGATCCTTGTTCTCTCCTGGTCCTTGTTCTCTCCTGGTTTTGTTCTCTCCTGGTTCTGTCCTGGTTCTGTCCTGGTCCCAGTACTGATCCTTGTTCTCTCCTGGTTTTGTTCTCTCCTGGTTCTGTCCTGGTTCCCAGTGCCCAGGTGCTGCTGGGGTTCCTCCCCCCAGCTCCTGCCCCTTGCTGCAGCATTCCCAAATCCCAGTTCCCAATTCCCAAATCCCTTTTTTCTCCCCTGGGTGCTCCGCTCCGAGGTCACAGCCAGGAGGGTGATTCTGCCAGAGGGGTTTTTATGATTTTCTGTTTGAATCTACTGGTTAGATTTGCAGTCCTAACAGAGAAGGATTTTTAAAGCTTATTTTGTCCACGCTGGGATCCTGCTGGATCCTAAACACTGGGAAAGCCAAGAATTCCTCTAACAGTATTTTCTATGCTATTAATTGACTAAAAAAAAAGAAATAATGTTTTCTATAGAGAATCTATTTACAAAATGAGCATTTTAGTGATGAAAACATGAATGTATGGCAGGCTGTGGATGTGAGGAATGAGAGCAGAAAGGATTTATGTGCCTCTGTATTTTTGTATTTGCTTCCAATAAACCAATGAACCAAAGCTGTGCTGCCTCTTCCCTGCCTGGGGAGGATGGGAATGCTGGGGTGGATAAATCAGGGATTGAGGGGGCTCCTCACAGCCCCCAGTCCCAGCAGGGTGAGGGGGGATTCTGGGTTTCCAGCTCTGAATATTCCTCGAGGAGGGATTTGGGAAACATTATGGGCAATGAAGGGAACAGCTGGAAGTTGATCCAGAAAAATGGGTTTTGTTCCCATGGGTTTCAGTGCAGAGTAACAAGAGTCACTGCTCTCCCATCCTCTGAAATATTCCACCCCTCTGGAGCAAAGAAAGTCAGGAATTTTGGATGCAGACAGTAAGTTTAAAAATATTTTAATAAGCTTTTCCAGAATTGCAGACGGGGAAGGGGAGTAAGAGGAGGGAATTACTGACAGTGCAAAATACTGTGTGGAAAAAATGTATCCAACTATTCTGTAGGGTTTGTGTGTGTGGAGGGGAATTTATAGCACATTGAACCCTTTGGGAAGCCCAAGGATTTCCTGTTGGACTGGATTCCCAGCTGTACAGAAGGCTTGGAAAATGAAAGCAAAGTTAGCAGATTTCCAGGATTTTCAATAGCTTTAGTAGTGCAATGACTTATCGAGTTACAGTGGCTGCAGTTTGAAACATGAACAAAGTATTGTATAAAACACCAGCATAAACAAAAGGTAACTTAGAATTAAATATTCTTAAAGTCTAGCTGAGCATTACATAGTGGATTATGGAATGTCAGGTCTCTTCTAAGTATCACCAAAAAAAACATAAAAATAAGGAAAGATAAAAAACAAAGCAACATTCCTGAAAATATACACAGTGCTGGATTTCACACACGAGCCTGAGACAATTCATTTGGAAACTTTCCTATGGATTTTTGGGAAGTATTTCCAACTTGCAACTGAAAACAAAGAGCATCAAAATAAAACTGAAAATAGGATTCTGCTTGTGTGGAACCGTCTTTGAGGTTCTGCTCATAACCAGAGGGGAGAGTTAACAGCAACCTCTGCCTCAGGCGTGAATCACTGCATTCCTTAATTAACACAGGCCTTAATGAATGAACCTCACCCAGAGGCTCTCCAGGAGCAGGGCTGGCAGGCAGAGCTGATCATTCCCCAGGGTTCCTGCATCCACAGCCCCTCCTCATCCCGAGGCTTGGCTCATTCCTGATCACAAAGTCCAAGGGAAGTTCAGTGGAGAAGAAACCAAATCAGCCCGAGCCCTCAGCAGTGGGGTTTGGGTTGAAACATCCATTTCAAACCATACAGTTCAACTGGAACCATAAAGAGCATAACCCTGCAGAGAAAATAACCAGTGAAGGATGAACAGCACACCTGTGAGGAGGAGGAGGAGGAGGAGACGGGGTTAGCAGTGGAACAATTGAACAATGATCCCGGATTTTGACAGAGCAGAAGTGCAGCTGGGCTGAAGAAAACAACCAAACAAAACCAAAGTGAGTTGGCATTTCAAACCTTCCTGACTGCTGGATGTAAATCCTACAGCCCAGCTTCTCAGTGGTGCTGCTGGCAGGGTGAGCATCACCCTGTTCCCATTTATTCGTCAGGAATTTTTGGTTTTTCACACTGGAATTAGTTCTCCCCAGCTCAAGCTGAAATTCCTGCTCTCCCTTCTCCAGGTGCACCAACACTGAATGCCAAGGTTTTCTAGGTTGGAAAGGACCTTTGAGATCATCAGGTGCTCCCACTGCAGCCACGCTGAGCTGCTCAGGAACTGCAGCTGCATTTCCAGCACTCCAGCCCCTGCTGTGCTCCCTGAAACCTGGCAGGGCACGGACTGCAAACAAACAGGGCATGATGGAGCAGCTGAACCTGAAGAAGGTTCAGGAAACTCGAGAATTTGGCTGCTGTCAGATTTCTCTGAGTTCCAAACAAAGGGAGAAAGAAAGCAAGGAAATGTGTGCAATGCAAGCAGCATGCTTAACAGAAATTGAAACATCATTATTTGCCACAAAACAAGAAAAAAACCACGTTTCCAAAATCAAATGCCTCCTAACCATTCTTATGTTAATTATTTACCAGTTTCTGGGAAGGAAATTAACACGTTGCTGATTAATTTTTAACTCCATTGGTTTGGTTTGGTTTGGTTTGGGTTTTTTTTTTGTTGGGTTTTTTTTTTTAGAAAAGACTTCAGCAAAATAAAAGGAAGCTGACATTAGACTCAGGGTATCAACTCTCTCATAAAAGTTTACCAACTGTACAAGGTAAGAAAATTATACAAGCTTTTGTTTTAAGAAAGGACAGTTCAATCAAGACATAAGTACTGTAAAAATCTTTCAAAGGCTACAAAGAAATCTGGAAAAATACAGAATGTATTTCTTTAGCCCAGATAAAGAATATGGAAAGACATCATTGATGTCAACAATTTTACATAGACAAACCTGACCTGGTTTATTTATTTACCTTTTAAAACTTCTATATATAAAAATAGTTGTGCTCATAACTTTCAGGATTCATGAGGGTTCCTTAATGATGGGATGACATTTTCCTCTCTCCAGCAGGAGTGGAAGTCTCTGTGCCTGCTCTGTCTTGGCTTTTCCTGTTTTATTTTAACTTCCTGCAAAGCCCCAAATGCTTTGTTCACTTGTGCACTGATTAAATGCTGTTTTGTACATTAAATGCTGTATTAACACATTCTTTAATGTATCAGGCTGGGAATATTTTTGCAGCAACTCACTGCTTTGTTCCTTAAATATTTACGAGCCTTTTATCCCAGAACTGCAGCTGCCAGCTCTGAGAAATTCAATATTCTCCTGCTGCTTTTCAGCACTGAAGAAAACAAAATATCGGATCTTTAGAGCCGACTAGAAGGTCTCAGGAAACCAAAAAAAAAAATCTCAGATTGTTTATGGAACTGGACTTTGGAAGGTAACCCATCAACCCTGAAAATTTTAGACACCCAGAATTTACTCCAAGGAATAAAATCAGCTCCCAGCACTCAGTCATCCAAAGTTTCCAGCTCCTCCAGCTTCCCGTGGGAGTTGGTTTCCTGGAAGAACTCTGAAGCACCCGGGCTCTCCTTCCCACTGCTGTTAATTCTTCTTCTTTTCAGAGGCCTCTCACTCTTTTCTTCCAGCTCAGGCTCGTTCCTTGAGGCTGAGTGAGCAAGTTTGGGGTCACTGGAGAGGTTTTCGGGTTCGTAGCCGTTTGTGTCCAGCTCTGAGTGAGGGGTTTTCTTCCCACTGCAAGGTCCATTGGCGTGCAGCCCCTCCAGCTTTGCCTCCTCCTTCCCTGGCACCTCCCCTGGGCCGTTGGCAGACACACCTGGGTTGGAGAGAAACCCCATCAGCAAGGCTCAGCAGCAACACAGCAGCCTGGGCTGCCCAGGAAAGCAGAGTTTGGGCTCAAATTCATCATTTTTCTCCTTCTCCTCACCGTGTGATTGCTGTGCATACAACTGACAGAACCTATGGAAGTGCTTAAGAGGAACAGAGAATGTCCTGGAATCCCTGCATCCAGGGGCTGCAGGTGAGCTCTCCTCACCTGGGCTGGGTCAGGAAAGCAGAATTTGGACTCAAAATGCATTAAAAATCCAGTGTTTTTCTCCTTCTCCTCACTGTGTGATTGATGTGCATACAAAAGGCACAGGGAGTTCATGGAAGTGTTTAAGAGGAGAAAGAATGTCCTGGAATGCCAGGATGCAGGGGCTGCAGGTGAGCTCTCCTCACTGGGCACTCTGTGCAGCTTCCAGGGGATTTCCAGGCTCTGAGTGAGTCCCCAGCTCCTCCCTCAGCCTGGCTTTCCTTCCTGGCTCCTCTCCCCTTGCCAGCCCTCAGGAACAGCTCCTGAGGAGCAGCAGGAGCTCCCCAGCTCCCAGCTCAGTGCCCTGCTCAGGACTCCCCACAGCACTGGAATTGCACCTCTGCATGGCACAGGGCACACAGGAACTCACAAATCTCAGGTAACTGGAAATTCCAGGGGGGATTTATCTTCCAGACAAGGCCCCTGCCTTAATGCAAACATGGAGGAGTTTTTACAAAGCAGTTTTAACTTGAAATAGGCTGTTTGTCTCCGGGGGTGCTCACCTGGAGAAGAGGAGGCTTTGGGAGAGCTCAGAGCCATTTCCAGGGCATAAAGGGGCTCCTTGGGACAAGGCATGGAGGGACAGGACACAGGGAATGGCATTACACAGGCAAAAGGCCAGGGACAGATGGGATATGGGGAGAGAGGAACAGGAGCAGCCTGTGAGGGTGGGGAGGGGCTGGGCTGGAATTCCCAGATTTGCTGTGGCTGCTCCATCCCTGCAGTGCCCGAGGCTGGCTTGGAGCAGCCTGGGATGGAGGGAGGTGTCCCTGCCAGGGCAGGGCCGGGCTCTCCCGAGCCAAAGCAGCCCGGCACGGTGTGCCAGGGGCAGCCAGGCCCTCTCACCGTTCGGGGCGCTGCCGGACGGGCACTCGTCCCTCTCGGACTGGCTGGCGCTGCTGTTGGACGCCGTGGGCGGCGGCGACGGGGCCCGGCTGGAGGCGGCGCTCTCGCTCTCGTCCAGGAGGCGGTCCATGTAATCCCTGCGGGACAGACAGACAGACAGACAGAGCTGGGACACGTCCATGGAATCCCTGCGGGACAGACAGACAGACACACGGAGCTGGGACACGTCCATGGAATCACTGCGGGAGGGACAGACAGACAGAGCTGGGACACGTCCATGGAATCCCGGCGGGACAGACAGACAGACAGACCGAGCTGGGACACGTCCATGGAATCCCGGCGGGACAGACAGACAGACAGACCGAGCTGGGACACGTCCATGGAATCCCGGCGGGACAGACAGACAGACAGACCGAGCTGGGACACGTCCATGGAATCCCGGCGGGACAGACAGACAGACAGACCGAGCTGGGACACGTCCATGGAATCCCGGCGGGACAGACAGACAGACAGACCGAGCTGGGACACGTCCATGGAATCCCGGCGGGACAGACAGACAGACAGACCGAGCTGGGACACGTCCATGGAATCCCGGCGGGACAGACAGACAGACAGACCGAGCTG